TTGTTTTTCCTTCGTTTCTGTTTTGTTTCAAATTTTGCGAATTCTTTGAATTCTTCTTTCGGTCGAGAAGGTGAATTCGTCGAGGCGAATTAATTTCTTACACGTCGAGACGTCGGTGTGACGTCGACTCTGTTGCCTGTTTCGTTCGAGGAGTGAAACAAGGCTCAAGTAACAATCAAACAATGCTGCAATCCTGTGAATTACGTCGGAGTGAGTTCAGCGAGGGATCGAAAGAACTTCGACATGGAAAAAATACCGATCATGCCGATGAAAATCACGCGTCCGTGAATTGAAAAAGTTCGGGACGTTCAGTCGGGTGGAAACGTTCGCTCCGTGGAACGGAGCGCATCGCCGTGAAAGAAACGCGGTACACTTACAGATTACGATTCTCCATCGTGTTTCATCATAATTCTATACACGTAGTTTTACATTTAGCCTGAGATAGGAGACATACATGTCGTACGATTAAAGTATTGTCAACGCTGTACGAAAGGAGAACGACGAAATCGACGCAGCGATAGTTTCTTTCTCCCTTAATTAGTCCCCCCCTACCCCCCCTCCCTTAGATTTAACAATTATGCGACGTTGTGATACACGACAGTCATGACACGATTACGAAGGAATTAACGACAAGTTTGCAGTTTGCTTTGCGTAATAGTATCCAGCTTGTCTACGTAACAAACGCGCTTTAACCACGTTGCTCGAGATTCTTCGCATTCGAACGATAATAGGTTTCTCTCGTGTCGTTGAATTCTAGCGGTCTCGCGAAAGTGGCGAACAATTACATCTGTCACATCGTTAACAACAAAGATTTGTTCGTCTCCATTCGTTTCCAAGCAGAATAATAATACAGAAATAATTTCAAGAGAAACAATTAGGTACACACAGCACGAGATCATCGATTCGATAACAATTTTCTATCTCGATACTTGGTTCGACCAACAAGGCATTTCGTTCAAAACATCAGCGTCTAAAGAATACGATGTCAACTTGCAACAACGACTTAGACAACTGGAATCATTCGAAGAACTTTTCGTCTCGCGAATCGTCTATCTATCGAATCTACGTCTGCTTGCTCGATTCAACGGAATGAAAATTGACGTCGTTTTGCGAATTGATGGCAACTAACTCGACGCTAATTTTTCGAGTACAGGAATAACAGTATTTTCTATAGTTTGTTTCTTGCTCCTGGCCGCGTAATAACGGAACCAAGGGTTCAGCTTCCGGCGAATCAACGATTCGTCGTTCTACTTTGTACCAATGCTGAGTATTACATCGATCAACAATGTTCCACCGATACTCTGCTCTCATTAAAATCTTTTGTCTCTTAAACGATTAGCTTAGGTGCGGCAGTTAAGAAGAACGATATTGACAGCAAGAAGTCTCCGAACCGATCCGTTTCCCCGTTAGCTTACAATTAGTCGTCATTTCTCGATTCTCCGGCGAAAAAATGCAGTGGAAAATTTGTACCTCGTTATGTACACGTTACCGTTCGTTATCACCGTCTATAATTGAAATTCTAACAGAAAGTACGATGCACCGTGGGTGGAAAATGGCGCGGCGCAATGAAAAGTGCGAAACTCGCCAGAAATTGAAAAGTTAGAAAAATTGAAAAATCCTCGAAACCATCGTCGAGATCATTTTTTCCCTGCTCCTGCTGCGGCATTGAACGTTGAACTTACTGTCCACTTTGTTCACACACGTTTGCACACAAAGGTTTGACAAGCACGACGTTTTCGTTGCAAGAAGATGCGAGTCACCGGCACGATTATTTTAGATTTTGACTTTCGTTCCGAAAAATGCTCGAGTACAAAAGTAAGAAGCTTCAAGGTAATAAACGATGTTCCCACAGTAATTGTAATAATAGCAATAATAACAACAACAACAATAATAATAATAATAATACGAGAATAGTCAACAAGTATAGATACAGTATATTAGGAAGTAGCGATTCACCGGTAAGGGTAAAGCAAAGACCGATCGATGTCGACGAAAGTCGTGTTCTTCGTGGTCGCGTGACACCGTGTAATCGATAATGATTAGATCGAAGAAATAGTCGAGAGAACTGCGAGACAAGGAACGCGTGTAAATTATAGTACGCAAGTGGTCGTTAACGTTAACGGTCGGCTGCGAAATAACACTCGTAAAATCGGTGTCGAAAACGCCATGGATAGACGTGGTGTATATATATCGCTGGGAGCAACCAGCAGAGAATTACTTTGCCAGTTTCCCGAATAAATCAATCCGCTCGGCAACGTAAAAGTGCACCGTGTACTTAGCCTGCGAAATCATTTCATTAGGAATAAATAGACTCGAGTGGAACGTGCAACGTCTCGCGCTGAGTTACAATCCACTGATTATACAAATTAAGAGTGTTCTTGAAATAAAGTCGCGGTACGGTACAAGCTATTAAATCGTTTCAGCGAGTACACGCGTGTCTCGTTCGCGATCACCTATGGCCAAGAAAGGCCCCAAGTCTCTCTCTAGCGTAGGTACATCGATCCGATTTCGTTAACGCGATCCCAGCAATGGACATATATATATATATAT